CTCAAAATATTTTTAAAGAACATATTGCCTTTTTTTAATAGACGTGTGTTAGTTCAGAAGAGGCCTGAAAAAACTCGTTAGAGCTAAAATTGCCTACATTAAATATATATATATATATATATACATAATATATATACATATCAATACTTAAAGCTTATTTTTTCAATTTGAATGAACCTTAGCCGTGGCTACAATTAAACCACAAGCTGGTGAAATTTGAGTGATGCGGTCGCTATCCAATAACACGKTGAAGTTTTTCGAACTTTTGCCGTAGATGTGACATGCAGTCGCCCACCGAGCGGACATACATAATTTATTAATATCTCAGAATGATTATCATTGTGAAGGGATAAAACCATTTCATTAGGGTACCGTGAGTCTTATCAATTAATGTAGCTTGGGAAACTACCGTATGTTTCATAGTTCTTCGCAATAACCTGGCATTGAGAAAGGAAACCATTTTCAAAGAGCCATTCCTTCGACGCCGTCAAGGCTAGAGACATCATGAGTGTCATCAGTGCCGGTTTAATCATGCTTCTACTAACCACTGTTACTGAAAGCCGTGTATTCAACGTCGCTATAATACTGAACATAAGTGACATCAAACAAAATAATATTTTGTCTGAGGCAACAAAAGTTATTAACCAAACGCAGAATGAAATAGCTGGGAGTTCATCGACAATTCGTTTCACTGAGCAACACCTTCCTACGTTTCCTTCAACGCCAAAAAATGTTTTGGAATCGCATCTTAATTTTACCAGCAATATCACAGCTACCACCGATTTGGTAATTTTCATGGAAATATCAATAAACTCCCTAATCCTCGCGGACATCCTCAAAGATTTATACATTCCAACGATTGGAATTCAACATAGAGAAATTGGAGTACTTTCATCGGTAAGTTCAAGTGTATTTGACTAATTTTGTCGGCTTACTCTCTACCATTCTCGCTAAGATTCAGAAGTCTAAACAATTTACGTACTTTCAGAAAAAATATCAGCATGAATATGTATGCTATCGCAATGAAAATATCGTTTTTCACTAAATTTTGATCAGTATTTTTTTAAGGTATGATAGATAGTTTTATTTGATGATCATATCTCCATCCATTTGCACCATTCTGACTCGAATTCAAGGAACCGTAAAAAAGGCAATTCTCGACACAAAAATATAAGTGCGCGAGCGATTTATTGTATAACTTAATCTAATGTACATAATTATTCACAATCGGTAGTTTTTTAGCTTGGGTTGATTTATATATACATTTTTTTTTTCGCGGATTTTGACTTTTGAAATTAAGGAGAACTTAAATCATGACCACGGTACACTAGTCTTCWAAGAAAGAAAACCCATGACGCCAATGATTTATGTATATGCTGGCAATGATCCAATTATCCAGTTTACTATATACAAGTTAAAATTTATTCTCTTAAACTTGGAAATCTAAAAAAAAATGAATACGGTTGAGTAACTGACTGATGTTGAAATCCATGAATTTGAAAACATTGAATTTCTCGATAAATCATAAATTTAATCAACTCGAGTTGGACAGTACTGTTATATATTAGGAACAAGGTTAATAACTAATATTTATGTTCTTTCATTTTCTAAGGGTTTTCGGTATTTATTGAATTTAAATTTTTAGATTTGAAATGCGAGTGTCTGCTCTTTCCATTGTGGTGACTAATGCCTACATTTGAATTACAATAGTCGTATACGACTTACRAAATATGTTAAAGCGAATACGACTTTCAAAGTAATCGTTAAATCAAGAATGAGATTACTTAAGTGGAAAGGTTTATTTATATGAAAACGGGATATTGGAAAGCCAAGTTGATTAACTTGTCTGTCATATTTCATATCTAGGAAGCGATCAACATATAGTTGCTCTGTGCTGATATCCTTTCATATTTGCTTTRAGAAATAAAATTGGGACTGTTTTTAGATAGCCTTCCGGACTAAAATTTACTTAAGAAATTGAATTGCAGCAGAAACAATTTTCTTAGGCAAATAGAACGAAAAGTAAGGTAAGATTTATTAAAGCTTTTCTGTGACAAACGAACGCGTATTTCGTATAATAACACGATGACGATTACCAAGAATGTTTTGAGGAMTTTCAAATCAAACTTATTCAAGAAACGGAACTTTACAAGAAAAGGTTTTGTTCGGAAACAATCATTAAGGAACTTAGAAACTCCTTGCAATTGTTACCAAGAGCTGAAAGCATCTCTTGCACAGCTGCTTGGACCGGAATTTTGTAAAAGGCGTCAATAGGTTTATAGTAAATGAGTTTTTTCACAATAGTAATCATAATTGTGAATATACACCTCGGTTTCAATTCATTTGCAAGTGAGTGAAGTAAATGAGAAAGTTTGCCACCATCCAATAAATATTCGTTATTCCTTTTTTGTCTTCAATTTATTTTTCTTGAT